AATCCGAAAGATGTTTACAGTATGAAGAACAGTGGGAATCGTGAGAATGAGAAAAATCTGTGTAGAATAACTCATTTGTTTGAGTTCTGACAAGTGTTTTGGTTTGAACGTTCCGTTGTTCACAGCAGGACTTAGAACTATCAAAATTCGTAGCAGTACTGAATTATATGACCTTGAAACTTGTCCGCTTTCATGTAAAACGTGATGAGAGGTTATTAATGGAACGCCATCGTAATTTATGAAAATAATTCCATGTACTCCAAAGGACAGATGGATTTCAAAGGTCTCGCCTACGGAACTAATGGCTATCTGAGATATCAGCGTCTCCAGTTTTCACTCCAAAGAGAGTTTCGCCAAAATCTGCATTTAAACATAATCAGTAAAACGCAACCTTCTATTGGGGTGAACGGATTATTGAGGCAAGAAAACGTAGTACGAAGGGGATAGGTGTGCCAGAAAATTGTGACACGGAGAACATATGAACTATAAACATAAATTACTCTTTTGAGCAGTTTATCTTTCGTGCAGTAGAATCTACTGAGACTATTCCATGGAAGCTTTAGATGGTTGTGAACACTGGGATTGCTTGTCTCGCTCAAGTCAATTGTTAATGTAACTAGGAGTGCGATCTTCCTCATTTGTTGCCTATTCACGACCTTTTAATCATTTTGATTCGTTTGCTTTTGTTCTCCTGCTCTCGTTCATCCGTTCCCCACATGCGTCTACAAACCAAACAATCTCGCTAAATCGTGCGTCTTCCGGTGCAGACTTCGTATCAGTAAAGTTACAGACCTACGTATTCGAATGTTATCGGACATTATTAATGGGGTGAAAATAATCAAATTGCACGCATGGGAGGATTTGTTTTCCAAGTTGGTCAGTGAAGTGCGCAAGTGAGTCTGGTTTGAGTAGTACCGTATGCTTTGTTCGGTTAAGATGAAAACTTCGCTTCGATTTTCTCCACATGCAAGTGAAAAAATTACATACCAGAGTTTTTCTTTTCATTTTGAAAGCCATATAACTAATCTGATTGAGCGGAAAAAACTGTCAGATCACCGAACAAATTGATTGGTTTGATGGAGCTCATTAATTTCCGAATACTTATTAGTGTCAAAAGCAATATTTGGGCGGAAATGGACTACAACATCTGCGAACCCGCTAAATTTTCGATGTCAATTTTAAATGGCATACTACAGGAATCAAGGAATTTTCAATAATTTGTATTTGACACACGCCACCACTTTCCTGTGATGAACTCAAACAAAGGCTTGACTGACATCTGTGACGATCGATAACTTTCACAAGTGTTTTGGGTTCGACTAAAGTTTTTTCAAAACTGAAATTCTGAGTAGGTCCTCGTGTCAAATTTTCTGAGTGCTTCTAGATCCAGTTCGAAGAAATTATCATATAATCACCCTGATTATTCTGCGGTTAAGCCACTTCGAAATAACTCCTCGGGGTGTCGACCACGATATTGGGGCCTAATTCACATCAGTAGTATAATTATGAGAATGACTTGACAGATGGGGAAAGGATAGATATAATTGATAACCTAAAGAGCAGCGAAGCTAATCATGTACTTCTAAAATAATTTCCCACTGTGTAATTTAACTTAAAATATCGCTTATATGTATAAATCTGGCTGTGTGGGTATACATTTTCCATCTTATATTTGCAGAACATTTTCAAAGCATAATTGTTTAATAATTAAATGTCTGAATAATTTTTACTTATACTTACTTTTACTTCCTTTCCATTTCTTGATCAATGAAAAACTGCTTGGAGAAAAACAAAGAAATGAAGTAATTGTTCGGCGGTGATAGTATTCAAATTCAGGTCACTGTCTAGATGGACTCATTTGCTGGGTCACCGCTGTTCTACTAATCATTTATACGGAGATATTCATCAATATAGCAAAATGGACAAGTATATTTAACGAATACCACATGTTAAACGGGTTGAGTAAAGTTGGCGGTATTTCCCTTTAGATGTTGTTGAAGTTACAAGACAGTTGAGGAACTGTTTGATTTCTGCAGACGTCAAAATATGATATGATCGGTCACAATTTGATAAGTATGGCATTTGGAAAAATGCAAGCACCATAGCTGATAACATAATGAAGTGGGGACAGAACAATAGCCTCGGGATAATATTTAAGCCTACCCATAGATGCTGCTTATATTTCTATACAGTGCACTTTCTAGTGGACGAGCTTCGAAGCCATCGATAGTGCTGACCCTTTTACATTTTCATCACGCAAGGAATTGATTAGATTTACAGTAACCAACAGTAACCAAATGATCATGGGCCTAGAAATCAGGATCAAGGACATGTTTTCCATGAGAAAGCTTTCGAAAACTTAGTCGAATTGACAATAGATCCAAATTTGGGAATGAATTTAACTTATTTCTGAATATTGCGGACGAAACAAGATTGTTGAGCCTCATTCATTGAAGAGTTCATCACAGCTCAATGATCTCGCTTTCATTCAAAGCCTAATTACTGACGAGTGAAGAAATTGTATTTCACTCCGTTTACTCTGGCAACAGAGAGTTTCTGTTCACCACGTTTCCGTTTAGGGCGTTGTCTTATTACACTCATGAGCTTCATTTATTCTCTCATTATTCATGGCCCTGCGATGCGGTAAAAAAGAGGCAATATCCCTGTTGGCTTTTATTACTATACCAAAGTAGCTTTAGAATCAGTAAAGAAAGTAACTTTCAGTCTATTATTGTTTTTGAAGGGCAATCAACAAAATATCTTAAAGTTTAAGCGACGTTTGCGAATACGCATGTGATTACCGTATACATGGTCTCACGGAGTCAGACAGGCTGTAAAGATAATCAATTTAGTCTCTTAGAGATAGGAAAAATCTCTTCAAGAAAGCGGTTTCGAAAGTAGTCAGATATGCTCACGATCTTCGGGAAGTGCTGTACGATTGTCACATCAGTGGTTCTTTAGCCAATGAAGGTTACCAGTGCAAATAAGTTAGGTTTATGTTTGGGACCCAGTTAAAGGAAAAAAACTCTTCGTTTTGAGAGAATCCACTTAACGTGAGACTGTTCAACCAGAAACCACGATGTCCAAACCTGAATTCAATCTCATGTTAGGTAATCCAGGTGGGTTTGCTCTGTAATGGAGCCCGGAACTTTTCGAAAGCATTCTTTTCCTCTCAAATTACTTTAAGTTGAAGTGGTTCCAATGAGAAGTCAATAAGATCGTTTGTTAATCATGCTTCAAACTGATCTGTCTGAAGAGTTGGAACCATCAGGACGGCGAAAGTAATGAAGTACTTCAATATCGTCAACGCATTTGCCCTCAGTGACACCCGTTCATCAAGCAGATTCGATTTCGCATTTTTTATCTCGCATATGAATTAATGTTATTTTAAGGAGTCAAAACCGATTTCTTCACAGACAAAGTCAGTCATTTGCTCGTCGTGAACTCGGGTCCGAATATTCTAGAATGTTTCGTAATTAAATATTCAAAATGCAAATGGTCATTCTATTTGTTACTAGCTCTTTGTCACGTTGCATTAATTCATCGTGTTGAAGTTCGTTTTCCATTTCCCGTTTGCTCCAACTTTTTTGAATGGATTTTTAGGAGAGAGACACGTTTATTCTTGTACGTCCGTCTAAACCAGGCGTTTCAGTTTACACAGCTGGTCTACCAAGTCAAAGTAACCACAATGGTCATGGTGTTGGCCATTGTCCTTCTACACAAAGGACCGGGTGATCCGATTGCCTTACAAAGTCACCAGTTGTACACATTGTTGAACTACCTGAATTCGCTGTTCCTTTCGCTCACACTATTCCTGCCTATGTGTATCCAAGCGTTTTTCGATACGAAAGTGAGCGCTCGTCGAATTCAGGTGAGTTGCGTGAAACACTCCTCATTCTATTTCTCCTCTTTCTCCTCTCCGTCATCTTTATCATTGTTTTCACCACAACTAACAAACAGTAATATAAACAAAATCTGTGTGCTCTGACTATACTTATTCAAGGAACCAGATTATAATTGTAATTAAATTGATCCTAATTACAAGTGTTGTTATCCCATGGAAGAGTAGGTAATTGACTCCAGATAATTTACAACGTCGAACTGCGAGTGAATCTTCAATCTATATTTTTTCTCTTACCTATTGGCAAATATCGTCTAATATAATTCACAATTTGTGACTGTTTAGAGACCAGTTGTTGGAAATCTGCTCTGACCTGATCCGAATGAGCGAGAAATCAGACAAAAACACGTAAATGAGGAAAGCAATCTCCCCAAACACTTCTGATTTGTTCCATTCACGAACACGATTTGCCTGCATGACTCCATTGTGTATTACCCGGTGTGCACGTTTTCTGTTTTTAATCTCTTAGGAGTAATGTGACACAACTGTTTGTACGGCAGCTGATTTTCACGGTCTTTCTAACCTGGACTGCGAGCGGCGAGTACTAGGCTGAGTGAGGCTTTCATTCGATTTCGAGACGAACGTTACGGTTACTTTTCGCATTCAGTGATAAGCTCAAGAAGATTGAATTGAGCGAGGAGAAAGAACAGTTATATTGGGCTTCAAACGGTAGAACTCAGCAGTAATGAGTGAAACGGAAATTTCTTTTAGGTTTTGTGAGGAGCAACAAGTTAACGATGCCGCTTACGTTCTATCACAAACAGAAACCTTAAATGAGAAGCACATTTGATGTCCACCCGAACCACACAAAGACCGATCCAGTTTGCGTCACACAAATAAAGCACGAAATCACGCATTGTTCTAATTCAGTAACAAATTGAGAAATCGTTTATTGTAGACCAGTAAATATCCACAGGTGATTGCAAGTGTGGTTTGTGACCAGGAATAACTTCATTTGAATAAATTCGCTCACGTGAATCGTGATTGGTGGAACTTCTATGAGAGACGTGGTTTTATCGAATAAAATATGATATTTGATGCTCATCTCGGTCTTAGAGAACATTTGATGTTGACAGTAGTAAAACCCCAAAGCGGTAGATAAACCCATGGATTTCGATGCACTTTATCCATTTCCGTTCGTACATCTTCATACTTCATGAAGAAAGTAGTGAAGATAAAGAAACACCGACAGAGTTTTATGAAAACGAAAGAGAAAAATTAGATGACAGTTTATCCGAGGTCTTTCTTCCCGAAGAAAGACAGACCAGTTCAAGTATCTCCATAAAGATATACACAGCTTTGAGTCTGGGCTTATATAGATGCAAGTGCCGCACACAAATCAGGCAACTTTGAAAAGCGTGTCCATTATAAAGTTGAAAAGGAAAAGAGGAGTAGATAAAACACGATGAACTCGGATGAGTGTAAACAATGGATAGACGACACAATCTTTGGTTAGTTCAAGTATCGTCTTTGGATCAGGGAATACCGAAATGGTTGGTCTATAAAACAATGGTAGTGCTCCAGATCCAACCTAAAGTAAAAGTCATGATCGATACAGCGTCAAACAGGTTTAGATTCAACCCGATTTGGGAATGCGTTATGCATTATAATGAAAACTCTAAGATGCTGTATACTCTGATACAAATAGGTTGATTTCAGTCTTTGTGACTCGTTGTAATTTTTAGGGAGAATCTTTTTATTTTGCTAAAAATATGATGTTTTAGGAGCAGCTTTTCCCGTTAGCTTGTGACCGAAACATTGCATACTAACGTATACATATTTGTTCCACATCCGCTGATTTCCTCTACAGAACTCAAAATCATTCTGATCATTCTGAGCAAGAAACCGATCATTACGAATCTTTCTATCTATTGAGCCTGAGGTGTTCACCACAAGCCGATTGAATTGGGTGAAATCGATGGCCAGGGAATGTCTTCATAATAACAATGACACTTATATGTTTCGATCTTCTGTGTTTAGGGGATAAACAGCTGTTCAGTCAATTATCAGGAAGCGGGCTATGGCCAGCCGTAGGCAACGTGGATATACAAAAAAACGAGGAAGATAAAGGATGATAACGGGATTCAAACACACGACCTACGAGCCAACCCTTGGACTAACTTAGTCCACTAGATGGAATATTTAGAATAACTAGTCCAGTTTATGATAACTGTAATGCAAGCCCACGGAAGAGATATACTAATCGAATATCCGACTAAAGGAAAAGCACTCGTGATATTCTAGTTTGAGTGTGTTCGATGCCTACAATATGCTGAACTTCGTTCTTCTAGAGCTGCTTTACTTTTCATTTATGTAAATTCTGCTCGTATGGTAACCTGAGACAGGTGGAAAGCTGTAATATGATTTCCCCGTTCTACCGATATACAAGCTTTTCGCTACTATAAACATTTTTTATTTGTGCAGACATTTGTTAAATTTCAGTTGCTTTTGCCACTAAGAAGATGTAATTTATATTGAACATCAAATATTCTCGTTCAAAAAGCTTTCATTCTTCCTGTCTACTTTCAGTGAATAAATAACTGACTAGTTTTCTGTTACTCACGACTAATTGACCCCACATGACGTATCGAGCGGTATGAGATGCACTGTAACACAAAGTATCAAAATAAATGTTTTGAGACGGAGCGTACAGAGGGAAAAAAGAATATGCAAACCATTACTAAAACCTTCCTCATTATTTTGATGACTATTGCCCTGTTGGTTTTGATTGGTTTTATTTCAGCGAATTGCTGTTTAACTATTAAGTTTAGGTTATGTGATAATTTGTGACCGGAAAACCGACTCTTTTTTCTACTTCTAATTATTAGGATTTCTTGCTAATCCCTGAAATCGAACGGGAGCGCAAACCCCATGTGGTGGACTCCGATGTGCCCCAGCTTCAGTTCTACGATGTATCTGCTTCATGGAATCGCGTAAGTCACATTGGGAAGGATTTTGGCCAAGGGAGTAATCAGTGTCTAAACATATGAAACTGATTCTACAGAAAACGTATATTTATGCTCACAAGTAACGAAGATTTATGACGACGTTAAGATATCGAATAAACCATCGAGGTGTTGCTTTTATTTTGAGTCAAGAAAATGCTAAGCAAATACGATCACCGAAAAGTTCGGTCTGATTTATTATAGTTTAAATTGGAGTACCTTCATTCAAAAGATAAGTACTTATGTCTGATTGTTTCATTATACTCTGAAAAATAAAAATAAAACAAAAAAATAAATACACATTCTATGCTTGTCACGGAAATGTATTTATGCTTAAAACTTCAATTTAACCCCGATCGATTAATGGCTCCAGGTAGATGTAAAATCGCTAAAGCGAGGATATCCAGTAACCATTAGGAATAAAAAGACCGTTCTTTATACCTCATTGCCGTCTCTGGTCAGGGCATCATTTTTTCCTTCTGAGGTGTTCATATTTTCCATCATCAGTAACAGCCATGCAAATAAAAAAGATAGAGACGGTCTTCTGTTCACCAGTTCCCAATTTACTTATGCAAGGTAAGTAGCGTGGATGTGATGTGATGCTTAAACCTTTTGAGACTCCTTTCTACATCCCAATCCACCCATCCTCTTTACTGCTGTGGCGTTGGATATGAAGCAGAGAAAGCTGTACTTATACAATCCTAAATGCATCCCGCTTCACATTGGTATTCTTAACTAGCTGTATTAACCGTATCAGTACCAAACTATTCGGTTTTCCATAGTTTGGGTCTACTGGAACGAAGTGAATGTGTTTGCAACATATAAGTTGTTCTTACAGACCATTCTCGCGCATTATGTTACGGAATTTTTGATGTTGGCCAATTCAGCCGAATGCTTAAAGGTCATGCATTGAGTTTGCAGCTGTTCCAAAAAGAAAGAGGTATGAAGGATTTCTAGGCGGCATTAGAAAGGATAGATTTCACCGATCTTTCAAGGTAGGGTTTATCATATCTTGTCAGTAGTGAACTAAAGACACCGGAGAAGGTTGTATCAAATTCCTACAGGTTACGCTCTTACCATCGTTTCTTACCAGATCAAACCGAATATGCGTCAATGTACTGCTAAAATTTGGGCTGTATCGAATAAAGTGTTTGTTCCTTTTTCGAAAATTGTTACGAGCTATCCAACCTTTGTGGATTAGTACTTTCTTTTTGAACAATGCTGATCTTTTACTAGGGGAAAAGTTGGGCTAATTAGATTTTCTTGTCCTCCGAAGGTTATGGAAACATTATGATCATCTGGCACAAACCTTCGAGTAAATTACCACTCAGAACGTGTTGGCTGTATCAACTCAAACGTGTATGTGAACACTTCAAAAAGAAGCTGGCTTCAGCTTTGGCTTCGGTTGGTGCAGCCCGCCTCCCAGGTTGGGGCCCAAGGGATGAGGACTGTCTATGGTTAGAGACGCTGAGAGATATGGCGCAGAATAGAAGTCAGTAGCGCGAATGCTGTACGATCTGTCTATCGAAATCCCGTGCCCATTAAGAAAAACGAAACATCAAACAACAAAAAAAATTGCAAAAGGTGTACGGTGAAACACACAAAAAAATTCTGTTATCTTGTATTTTCCATGTTCAACTGTCTCACTCACTTTTCACCATGTTCCGTATCCTAATCCACCTATCCCCTTCACTGTCATTGTTGTTGCGTTGGCACCATGCTTGTTTTCAAGCCGGTGGTATATATATAAATATATATGTATATATATATATATATATAAAAATAACTGGTTTCGTACATCGATAGTCTTTAAAAATTGGGCTCCTTTATACCGTGCATCAATACCAGAAAAGATAAATATTTCTCGGTGTAAACATTTGTCTGGACCTCCTCAATCGCTGACGGAAAAAGCTGGCACATATATAATATATTTCTTTGATCAATCATGGTGAGAGAGTGAGCGGATAAGTATAAACTAGAAGTGAAATTAAAGTGAAAATTAAAGACAAATGGATAAATTGAGTCAGCAACGTTTGAGCACATAAAATCACTGATCGCCAACAGTTTAACATGACGGTCACTTAAAGATAGTTTAATGACGAGAAAAGGCCAGCTGTGTCTTGCTGTCCTGGTTTGTTTAGCAAATGATGGTTCAGGGGTTCCTGTGATTGGGCGAGTACCAGTTAACGGTCGCGATGCCTGTTTCTCCAACCACCTTGGAATGTGTTCGGTATCCAACACGATGGCAAACGATTTACTATGTTTATTTATCTGTTACCGCAAGTGCAAGTGAATAGTGTGTGAAAGATAAAACGGGTTTCCCAGCCATATATGCGTTGGTTCAGATCGATTCCGCGAGTAAAGGCAATTAGTCTGAGTTGAGCAACTGGGATTGTATAGTCTATCTTAACCTTTGGTCCATAACATTGAAAACGTGACCAATTGTAAAAGCTAGCTTGATAAAGACGAACCTTTGCCAGCGTTTTGGGCTGGGTTACGTTTCAGGACTTGTCCACTGTGGATATTTGTGAACCTTTCCGGTTTACCATTGGCAAGTAGTGTTCTCTTCAGGAAGTTCATTTCTTCTTGTAGTATATGCGAGGCATAAATATTGTCAACTCTTCTCGCGAGTCCGCGTTTATACACCAGGAGAAGAAAGTGAGAAATGTAGGCTTTAGCCGCTCCATTTTATTTTCCGGTAAACAGCTTCAATTGCGTCTATTTAATAGTCTCGTAATTTTTATATGCAGCAGCGTATGAGGTATTGTCTACTACTTCATGGGATATGATCGAGACGCGGATAAGTTGCACAAACGTTTTGAAGAGAATTTTTAATGTTCGTGATTGGTAGGGATATAAAGTTTTTACTGGGTGAGCTTGAAAATATCCACTGAGTTTTTACCCAATCATTTCTTGAAAAACATCCGTTGAAATGAGGTACAATGAACTACCGATTGCAATAGCATCAGTCTCTTAGTATTTGGTCTTTTCAAACTGAAAACGAATGTTATCTGTGCATAAAGGAATTAGTTCTTATACGTATAAAAGAGAGATATTAGGGAAAAATTCCTCAATTAGATATTCTGACAGAAAACTATTTCATGACCTAGCAAAAAAGTGAAAGCTATTTCAAATCTAGCCAATACATCCTCTCGAAGAGCACTACCATATTTAACAAAATATTTAAGATTTGCATAGGATTGTTTAAATAATGAAGTGTAACAGAGTTAAGAATGGGATCAAAAATGCCTAGCAACCATGGAGAAAGTTGATGACTGGGCGAGTTTTCAAGGGTTCCGCTTTCGCATCTGGAAAATTCGTTTTTAAACAAATGAAAATCAAAGTTTCTGCAACAATTACGTCTTTGATCTTGGTTCCAATTGTTTGAAACGCTAGCGCATGATGTCAAGTTTTAACTGTCGCCCAATAAATGGGGTTAGTTTCAACCGCTGTTTTGGGTGCACTGCATTAAACGACAGGCTATTGAGAAAACCAGTCGCTTGAGTCCAGTGAATGATTTCTTCACTCTGCAGGGTGCAATTCACTTGCTACCAATACATTGTAGTACGAATAAACGAGTGAATAAATAAAAGTAATCAGTCCAATGACAGATTTGAAGCCACACTCAAAGGAATACCGATCATTGCGGTGCAGTTGTTAGTTCGGATGCAAATTGTTCAGAGTTACCAATAAGAAGAGCAAGGGAACACCGGTGAGTAGAAGAGATGGAAAATTGTATATAAGAAGATCGGAGTTAAGTTTAGAGAGCTTGTTTTATTTATGGTCTCTTATAAGAGAAAATGAACATTAAAACAAGAAGCATTCAAATTCACGTTATGACAACCAAATGAGTCAAAACCAAATGACATCCGTGGCCGAATAGCCCTATCGGATAAACTTGGAAAGGGCATAAGGAACACATTATTTTCTGCATATCTGAGAGCTAAAAGATTGTCACCGGCAGAAATAAAGGACATGTAATAACCCACGGAGATATGTCATGAGATCGCACATCGTGATGCACTAATTGGAAGGTAATGAAAAGGCAGTGTGGTCATGATGTCAAGTGAACTGTTAGGGCAACCAATAAAATAGCTGGTCACTAACCCCGTTTCTGATGATTTTATTCAACTAACAGTAAGTGCTATGATGAACTTCGATTACTTGGCATGCGTAAAAGCGTGCAATATATAAATATTTTACTATTTCTGTTACGAGTAAGGAGAAAGCAAGGCGAGATCAGAATAAGGGAACCGAGGGTAAAGCGCTAGGGTTTATGGGTAAACAAGTTCTGGTTGTAAATTTGGAGCTGATAAAGATTCCAGTTCAAACACGTTTTTAAAACTTTTAAAGTAGCTGAGTAATATCCCATCGAGTGGAATTGAGCTGTCCCTTCTCTTAAGTAAAGAAATAATTAGGAAGACCCTTCAGCCTGTGGGAATGCGCTGATTTCCAAAACAAGTTAAAAGGTCGTGATAAGTTCGTAGAAAGTGGAGTACCACATTTCTTAAGTACACACCATCATGGTCAAAAAATCATTCAAGGTTTAGAATTTTTAGCTTGTTTTGGTTCTCTAAGATACCAACTCGACACCAGAATAAGATGGAAGCCCTCAGGGGTTAAAATTATCACAGCTGTTTGCAGCCTATCGGTGCAATTTATCAGGATGTGCACACACTGGCCCCTATAGAAACCTGGGTGATAGCAGAAAGTAAGATGACTGATCTAGTTATCATAAAAGTGGATGAACCGAGATGGGAATTGATGATGGGATTTGTGTTAGAAATCATTTCATTGCATCTTCTTCCTTGCTATCATGCGGTAGTGCTCAAACAAGCACGCGGGCTGACCGAAAGCGTAACTAAACAAAGATAAACTGAGAATGCGAATAATGTAACCTATCTTCATCGGTCATTAGGTCATACAAAGAAGAATTGAGGGAAATGAAAAACCCGAGTTAATTGCTCGATTTATGCAGCGCATTAACT